GTAAACTCCACGCTGTAATGAGACACACTTTAATTTAGATTATTCATTTCATAGTCAGGAGAGCTTGATAGAAAAAATACATACCAAACAAGGACAGTGGGAGACAAAAAACAGAGAAACAGCTTTGACAGCTGTAAACAACATGTTCCCACAGGCCACCTGCTCTGGGCGTGTTAAAAAATGCGCCTTGCCCTTGAGATTAGGGAGCATTTAAAAAGCAAATAAGCAATGCCAGCAGTGCCCTCGTGCCAAAACACACAAACCAAAAGCCAGGAATCCTGAGGGAAAGACTCTACTACTAAGCAGGCCTGAAAGACACAAAAAGGAGAGTTATAACCCAGGGAAAAGGGTGTAAAGGTGTCTTACAAAGAAAAATAAACAAAAGTCCATCTTTTCAAAGAGTTGTGGGGTTTTCTTCCCTTGAGTTCTGTGCGAGTTTCATTTTCACAGAAAGCTCAAAAAAGACTGTCTTTTTCAATAGCGAAAACAGTGCTTTCTGTTCTAACGGCTGCTGCTCCACAGCTGCAGCATCTTAAAGAAACACTGTTCTTACTGCTTAGTGATATATTTGACAGAATTTCATTTGCCACCTACATATTTTGACAATTTAACTTGGCATATTCAATACTTAGTTCATTTTTTTGTATTTTAAGCCATGAATAGTTGCTATGTGATTCAAATTGCAGTACATCAGGAGCTTTTTCATGGATGTCAGGTGTCCCACTGTCTTGCCACTAGGGGCGATCTTTTGAAATACCAAAGGTCATTGACTCTCACATTCAAACTTTCTATTTAATCTGATATTTATTGATGTTTCAAGTTAATTAAAATATACAATTTGTTTCGATCTCTTTATTATTAAGACCAAACATGTCCTTTGGGTACATCCTTTGTAATGTAACACTCATCCATAAAAAGGGCAACAAAACTAGAACTAGTAATTATAGACCATCCATCCAACACAGGGAGAACATACAAACTGCACACACATAGCACAGCAGGAGTAGATAGCCCCAACACCAGGGTCTTATTTCCATTACATATAAAGTACTTGTAAGAACAACAGGATCATCTGTATGTTAAGAGGATTCTAGGGGAAATTCTACAGTTGTAGAAAAGGTAGATAATTTATCAGAGACAAAAGTTACTCTTGTATGAGGAATTCTATAATTATAAGGAGTATGTATTCAGGAAAATGTGTACATTTGGATTTAGAAATCGGTTAATAGAAAACACAGGGTACAAATAAGTGGTGAATGTTCTCATTGGAGTGATGCAATCAGTGGAGTACACCAGGGATCTGTATTAGGACCACCACTCTTTCTAGTTTATTATTGCACAGTGTTACATACAAGTAGCAAAAAACAAATCATGAATGTAAAATGGCACACCAAGCATTTATTTCAATTGCTTTCAGGTTTTTTAACAAATGAAGACTTGCACTTGTGACATTTTGAGATAGGCACAGTTTGATGAACAGAAGCCCTCCAGGAGTTTGTTCTCCTGCTGTAGGAAGAAACACCCAAAATATACAGGATGTGATATTTTCAGTTTCCACCAAAGATAAAAACATGTTTCATGCTTTCGCACTAATAAACTCTGTTGACAGCCAGTTCGATAATGGCAAACACGCACAACTGCTTGAAGAAAAGCATTTGACATTATATTTAAGAATTTTGTTTGATGAAGAAAGAAAAAAAGGCTTACAAAGTTCCTGTACGTAAGTATAATTTTGGTGGACTGTCTGAGAAACATGTAAGTTTTTTTATCAATTGAGTAGCAGCAGTGCTTTCTCTGTAATGAAGGAGATACCACTGTGGGGATGGGAGAACAATTAATTAATAAGAACGTAATATGCGTGAAATTAACATTTAAGTAACCCAAATGTATTTCCATGTCTTGCCAAAACCACTAGATATGCAATGCTTACAAAGTGTCACCACCTCCACATCATGTTGTCCAAATGCTTTTGATTGCACAATGGAGTTGAATATTCATGTGTCTTGTGAAATGGTTCATGGTGAGTCTCTTCTTTTTAAAGTCTCAAAAAAAAACAAACAGCTTCCTTTTAACTAAAAGAATGTGGCATCTATCACTAACCACACTGTAAAAACCACCAATGGGGGCTGAGCCAGGTAAGAATGCAATGCAGCCATACTTATCGAGTGGGTCTCAGTCACCTCCCATTCCTTCTTTTTAAAAAACCCACAAGAAACACTTATCTCCATCAAGCAGATGAGGAACTTCAGCTGAGAACTAACTAGCTTCCATAAACACAATTTGTAAGCCAAGAGAGGACAATTCAATCTTACAGACATCTAACATCTATACATTGCAAAAAAGCAACACAAAAAAAGCCAAAAAAAGACTAATGAAGTTCAGCCTCCCAACAGCATCGTACAGCAATAACACCATTCAGTGCCAGCTGTAACACACCATAAAAAGAGTACACAGCAATACAGTCTTACTCAAGATACAGAGGCACTTATCTCCAAGCAAAACAAAAAAGTTACTTGAATTGACAAAGCCATATTAATTCCAAATGTCATCTCCACTTGTCGATCCATATATCACTATAGGGGTGTGGGGGAGCCTATCCTGGAAAGCAACAGGCCAAAAGAAGGTACACCCAGGATAGGACACCAGTCCACCACAGGAAAAAACACAGGCACAGACACACAGACACCAGGGCCGATTTTCCCAGGAAGTACCTCACGAAGTGAACCCAGAGCCCCAGCACTGCATATAGTTATCAAGAGTCCAGGTTGGAATGAAACCAGAAAACACTGCAGCCTTCTGGGAGTCAACAGCTGCTAAAACAAACTGCTCAGTATTCTGCACCCTAACAAAACACTCAAGAGCTGCATCTGTTTTTTTCAGGTGAAAGAACCACCTGCAGGCTGTTCAGGCTTGAAATATTGCCACAAAACCAGCTCAGCATTTGAAAATTATGAAACTGTAATATAACCATTCTCCACACCACTATCAACACCAAGCAAGGGTAGTGACATACTCTGGGCAGAAGGTGCCACAGTTAAAGATGACACAAACTGCCCCCATCTGAAGCACACAGACTGTAGGAAACCAGACAGAAAAAAATAAACTGCTTTCTCATCCTCAACACTGCAATACAGATTAAAGAGTTTTAAGGGCCACCTTATCCAATTGATAATTCCGGCAAAAATAAAATTGACACACTTTCATCAAGTGTTATTTAAGCACCTTGGGGAAAAATAATAATTCACATTCATTTTCAAAAAAAACATTTTCTATTAACTTTTGAATGATTCCTGAAATTCGTCTTATCAGTTATTCATACTCCCAGTTGATTCAGTAGCACAAGCAGCAGACTCAATTAACCTCATTGCCTCCTACATGCTAAAGAGTTGGCTATTAGAGACACGTGAGGTACATCAGCTCTTTTCCTAATATCACAGCTACTCAGTTAACTACTATAACAACCCGCAACACTATATGTCTTGCACAACTGCAGAAAATACCAGGTATGGTGCAGGCCTATGTGTTGCACTTTAAAAACATAAACATGTGATTGTTTATAAATCTATGACAAATGACATCAAACTGTTGAATAATGTGGAATTCTGCTCCATTTCCTAATGGGCTGCACATGTTCAAAGGCAGTCACAAACATAAAAACACATTTCATTTGCTCAAAGCTACCTCTATAGTAGCCCCTCACTGAATATGCACATGCGTGACTAATGTTTATTCTTGTTGTGAAACACTGCACATTATGCTTCTGCCTACAAACAACAGTAAATGAAAAATTTAGCCCACACAACAACTACTGCTGTCAGTTCTCATTTTAAACAAAATTACTCAGTTTTCTAGAAAGGATAGTGGGCTTCAAAAATGTCACAAACCCATCCATAGTCAGTCAAGAACAGGTAAGTCAGTCAAAAACACACACACCCTGTAATAATAATACGTCAAGATTCAAATTGTTCTTTGGAGGAGTGGAGTCATCAGAGCAGCACCACTCAAAGCAATTCAGTGGGAATCCTGTCAGACAAGAGTTCTCCTTGACAGACAACAACAGTCCCAACACAGGCAGTTTGAACCCCTGCTTCTTTTCTCATTGGCAAATGTAAACCTGCAATAAATACACTTTTCTACCAGCACGGCTGCACCAGTGGAGTCTCTGTGGAAAACACTCCAAGAAAAAAATTCAATCTGCTACATTGTGACCGATTTCATTTATTCTAAAATATTTCAGAACACTGGTCTCACGGCACTGTCAGGAAATCACAGTGCCTCGGTGCTCTGGTGTCACAGTGGTAGGGCTGTGTATGACCCAAACCAAAACTTCACAAACTAATGAAAGCTGATTCAGGTCACTTAGCCCTTAATTTCTGTATAACAGCCAATACACTAAACAATGACACAGTGAACTTCCAGTCATTACCTACATCTCTCTTTTTTTATTTTTTTCCCCCCAACTACCTATTCTCCCTCATTCTACCTATTCTGCCTCAAGTAGTCTATATGCTATGAGCAAGAATAAATATAATCAGTTGTATAGCACATAACTCCAGAGTTTTAACATTGCAAAAGTTTTTTTTTTTGCAGACTCCTGATAGTAAGAATTCTCCCTTCTTCCACTCCCTTTAAAAAAAAATAAAAAATAAGCACCCCCAAAACAATGTGACACCCTGTTTCCCCCAGTACGTCTGGCAAAAGCTAACAGGAGTATCCATCAGCCTTCTGCATGAGGAGCTTTGTCCTCAAGCCAAAGCTGCAATACAAATGCAAATGTCAGCTGGCAACTCTGCGCCTTCACACACTCCGATACAGAGCCACTGGATTATTACAAAAGGATGATGCATTAAGCCAAGGTAGGCCTGCATTCTTGCCTTCTCATTTTTGTGCTAAGTGTTTTAGCCATACTTGCATCACTATGCTAAACCTTCCCCACCACTGCAGAGCTCCACTTATGAGAATGACAATGTCAAGTACACGGAAGAAAAAATGAAGCTTACCATTTATCTCTTTATCACCGTGCTTAAATTATGCTGATGTGTTGTCAGAGAGGAAAAGCTTATCCACCTGATAATGATCACTGAAACCCAGAAGGTATCATAGATGAAGCCTCTGGCAGGGTTCTTCAAATGCGGAGTTTTGTTTTTCTGTTGTGGCAGAAAAGACAGAAAATGATGGCAGTGCGCTGTGGCATGCTGATCAAGCCCTGATGCTGAAACTGTAGAGAAAAAATTAGAGCTTACAGAGGCAAACAGTCCAGTGGCAATCTCTGCCAATGGAAAACCTGGGGAAAACCTGGGGAAACCCAGCCAGTGGTGCCCAGCTTTTTTTGGTGAAAATAGTAAAAATGACAGCAGGTTTGCACCCAGCCATCAAAGATTTGCCGATTTCAAATCGGCGGCAAATGAAACACACAAAGACATAGACGCAATGCAAACTGAATGCCCTGTTGACAAAGCACGACACGACACGCATTTCAAAATCGCAAGGGTGTCGCTGACTTGGAAAAGGAAGCAACACAAAGCAAGAATGTGGATTCAACACTTTACATAGTTAACGCAGAGAAAGGTTTACAAAGCCAAATTGGGCACAGTCAATTGAAGCAACGTTAAAATTACACAATACAGAACACGACCACATTCAAAACAGGAGTGTGATATGGGCTATCTCTGGACAAGGAAGTCTTTGTAGGGGAGGGTGTTACAGAGTATTGCAAGGACGTTTTAGCTTCAAAGGTTTGACAGGTTAGTCCTGAAGAGAGGCGATAACAATAAGGAAATGCTATTTAAAATTCAAAACAATGCCTAATTATGGATATACACCATCTTAGCAATACGGACAATAACTACATTGTCCACTTTCTGCTTGTGTTCATTTGTGATTGATCAAAACACTAAATTATTAATTCTGTACCTTCAGTATCTCCCATGCCCTGTTCTACTTGACTTATTAGTGTCCTTTCTGATATGTTGGATAATATGCTGACAATGCTTCCATACACAGCCTGCTCTAACACCACATAAGAAGAAGCCCTTAGAGGCAGTTCCAGGCTTCATTCTAATTAATTTTTGGACAAATACGTTTTTGCATCGGGCATGGAAAAGTTGAAACGAGTAGAAAAACGTCAGTGTTTTTGAACCCCTGAGGATTATTCAAGAGGTTGTCCCACCACATATACCAATGCTCCTGAATAACAGACTATAGTGTCTCCAAACATTTCTCAAAATCTCTTTAACGCATCAGAGGCTCAAGGGGTTGGGAGAGATTGATAAATAGGTCCAAGCTAAATACTGCAACTTTTGGATTTAAAATTGAACATTTTTGGTAAAGGAAGCCTTACTGTCCTGTCACTTTATTTTCCATTCCAAGTGTTCGCCCTCTCTTTACGTGATCCCACAAACTTTATTTTTTCTCTTTAACCCAGTGAGAGCTGACGCAGATCGTCCTGTCATCCTGAGTCTCACATTGTTTTGTTTTTTACAATTATTTCTTACAGATGTTTAGCCACTGATTTTTTTTTTTAAGTTTAAAATATCTAGTCCTACATATTTTACTTTTGCATCACAAAATGACCTGGTTTTATCAACAGGAAACTAAGGTGCTCATTAACCTGTAACTGGAGTTCCCCAAGAGTTACAGGACAAAGACAGTTGTGATTATCCAGTATTCTTGTGATCAGATTTGGTTAAAACAGGGCAGGTTGAAGTCTTACCTCCTAATAGTAAAGTTAATAGTAAATATTCCCAAAGGAATGAAATGATAAATCCGGCAGACTTCTTAAAATCAAACTGTGAAACACGAACCAGAAGACACAAACAGAAATGATGTGGAAGCACATTTCTAACCGAGAACAGGAGGTACTTTTTCACAAAGGTTGTGGGAGTATGGAATAGCCCAGCCATGTTATTGAGGCTGATACACTAGATTCTTCTCAGGAAGGGCTAGATGAGGTTCTCAAATTAATGAGCTACTAACAACCAAACAGCCTCCTCCTGTTTGTAAATATTATGCATTTACTGGGTAAAATGTTTTCTTCCTAAAAAAACACATGAAATATCAATGTCAAAACAGCATGAAATAACACATAGCAACACAGAAGAGTACAGGATATTAACATGACTCTTAGAGCATCATAACCACAGGATAGGCTACAGACATTTTTGACAGACAATAAAAAAACAGTATTAGTTGTAAGCAAATTTCTAAGCTAGGAGGAATACGAATGTATATCCAGTTTCCTTCTATCTAAGCATCTTAAGTTACTAAATCCCATTACCCACAGGGTTTAAATGTTTATGATTATTTGCAGATCACGTATAAATGAAAAAATATATCCTGTCTCAGTGTCCCAAGAGAACTACTGTACTGGGTCATGTTGTTACCCCAATACAGGACATGGAAGGTGTAGAGTTACACTAGGTTTTCACACGGTATACTAAATACTATATTCTCCTGCTCAGGGGACCTGCACTACAGTTCTCCAGGCCTATAAAGTCCTTCTGTTTTCTATGTCAATGGTTACTAATACTGACTCTGAAGGCTCACACAACCGCTGGTTTTTATCCTCTCGGTTACACAGTTCAACCCCATATGGTTTAATGAAAGGATAAATTCAAACTGTTAGAATGTTTTCAGCTCTTAAACACGTTGAAAGTGAGATTTTAACTTTTAACTGGATTTTATGAATAAAGTAAATTCCCACACTACTGAGTAGAAAAAAAACTGAAAATGTTCCACCTAAGCAACTCATTCGTTCTATTTAGGCTTCAATGAGGTAATTAAAGTCAGCTGACCCCAAAACTAGAAGGTTTATGAGCCTCCAGGACCGAGACTGGGAACACCTATCTGAAGACAGAAGTGACAGTGGACCCTCACAATCAAGAAATACCTTGATGAGATTCTTTAAGGGTGGCATAGTGGCACAGTGGTGGGCATTGCTGCTTCACAGTACTGGAGCCCTGGGCTCAATTTTTGGAGAATTATCTATGTGGAATTTGTATTTATGTTCTCCCTGCATTTGCATGAGTTTCCTTTGGGTGTTCTGGTTTCCTCAAAAGGCTTACGGGCAGGCTACTTGGCTCCTGGAAAATGTGGCCCCCTTGTGAGTGAGTGCGTGCAACATCAGGATGTGAGTAAGCTAATCTAATACAGGGTCATGGGGAGCTGCAGCCTAACCTGGCAAGAAATGGGCACACGGCAGGATATACCCTGGATGGGACACCAGTCCTGAGAAAACCCAGTTGCAAACACACACACACCATTACCAATTTTCCCAGAAACCACTTATCCTACCAGTATGTCTTTAGACTTTGGAAGGAAAACAGAGCACCCAGAGGAAACCAAACATGGGGAGAACATACAAACTCCACGCAGGTAACTCTCCAAGAATTGAACCCAGGGTGCCAGCGCTGCGAGGCAGCAATGCTCCCCACTGCACGGCTCATTTTGTTTCTTAAAAGTAGGTATAGATCAAAAAGGTCTTCATTTTGAGTCGAGGTCCTGCATGCAAAAAAAAAAAACTTCCTGAAATTAACCAGATTTGATCATGGTTCCAAGTTATCAAATTATCTGTTCTACAGCAGCCACCTTCTCACACTTCCCATCTCGCAAGGGTATGCAGGTTAGTGTGGACTTGTGTACCTGTTTGCTCATATATGTCCATGGCAGCATGCCTGTTTGTGCCTATTTGCACATGTGTGTGTGTGCGTGTGGGTGCACGCCTTGCAAATGATGTCCCATCCAAGGTCTCAGCTTGCATCCTTGCTTCTGGGTTAGGCTCCATGGTGTCACAACAGTTCCCAGGAATAAGTAACAGTCCTGATATTAACTGTGAGCACATACACAAAGCAATCAGACCACAAAAGCAGAGGTTAATTCAGCAACGGCACCAGTAAAAGACAAAGGTAGTGCTCAACATGCACTCTTCGTGGAAGGAGGGAACAGGAACAGTGGGGTAGCCCAAAAAAAGTAGTACAAAACATCAGATACTTGCACCATCTCAAAGCTTTGTTAAAAATATTGCATTCCATTCCGGTCCCTGTGTTACATAACAGATAATGAAGTGCTCCAACTAGTTAAAGAAATGGTGAGCAGGTCAGGCTGATTCCTGGGTGTATGGAACAAGCCATCGAGCCATATCATTCTATCCATATGCTACAAGCAAGCACAAAAGCCATTTTATTTTGTTTCTGCACTCTTAATAGAACCGGTCAAAGTACAAGCACAAATGGACATTTCTTCCACAGCTGATTGACGGTTCCAGTCAAAGTCCAGGAGGTAGGAAACCTTATCCAGGCCTCAGACATACACTTCTGTCCCTGCTGTTTCTGGAAGGGGGGAGTCTTGCAGCACACACACACCTTTTTACATCCCTCTCAATGTCTCAACTGACCACCAGCTTGTTGCAAAAAAAAAAAACACAGCTTAGTTACGGTCAACAGTCATAAAGATTACAGCCTTCTGCCATTCCTACAACTGCAAGCACATAAAACAACTGCAGCATTGCTGTGCATTTTCTAAAAAAGGAGTCCTTACCCTTGTTCTGTGGACCAGCTCTCAGTTCTACAGCAGAGCCTTAACCTGCCCCAACCCCCAACAATAGGTTTAATTTGGAGTCTTTAATTAAGCTACAAAACCTCTTTTTAGCAATGTGGTTCATAGATAACCTGAGATCTACAGCTTTTGAGCAAGAAAAGAACATGAAAAAGTTCCAATCAAGCCACTTGTTAGTTGAATTAATGGCTTCAGTCAAAATGTGAAACCATGAACTCAAACAACTTTTCAATTATTATTAGTAGATACTTGGTACTTGTTTGTCTTCCTATAATATGATATATTTTATCATCTACATTAGTAGATGGTTTTGCAATATATTGAAAACGCTTTTATTAAACTGACTCATTTGTGAATTCCGCCTTGAACAAAAAGGTACTTTCCTAGGATTTTACTATAAATCTAAGCTTTCGAGCACTTAAAAGAGGAAAACAATACCTATGCAGTACCCTGAAATTCCGGCCAGTTGCGACTAGAACAACTCTAGTATGATTTTGTGGGATTTTAGAAAAACTTCATTTTCTCCCTAAGTCAGTTCCTCAGAAACTGCTGTGTATTGTGACGTAAACACAGGGCCTGTTTGCAAAGCCAGAGCTGCTCTAGCGCTCAGCACGCAGACGGAACATTAGTCATGTCGCAGCGAAAAGGAAACCACCGATCGCAAGCAAACAGTCCTGGTGCAGTTTCTTACGTTTGCAGATGAAAGAGCTGTCTTAGAACAGTTTGTTGTGACGAAGACGTTACTCACCAGAACTGGCAGCTCGTCGGAAGCTGTAATTTACCCAAAGCGGCACAGACCAGCTGCTGCTGCTGTAGAGATAGGAATCCCCCTCCTCAGCTAGAGCGCAGCTGCGGCCGAGTCAGAAGACGCTCCGATACTCGGGCAGCGTAACGTGTCCGTTTTCACCTGTTTATCTACACACAGTACGCGCCTACTCTAAGCTAAGGGTGCAGATCATATTTCCTCCTGTCCCGGTGCGCATCCAAGATCTCTGGGATCCTTATCACACTGGAAATGCGCCATCTTTATGAGGAATGTACACAAACCCAGCGCATGCGCGTTTTTGGAGGGGGTCGAGCTATTTTCCCGTAAAGTCTGCACATCTATTGGAAAAAAGTTCAAGGTTCCTTATGATCACGGTTTCCAGAAACTAACTTCTGACCACACGCACACATAACAGTACAGAATGCTAGTGCCGCCCCCCAGAGTTCATTTATGTACAAGGTACCAGAAGAAAAACTATTTTACTCAAATAGAAAGCACCAGATGGGTGCTTTCTATGGCTAAATTATTCCCGAATCAGAAGCGCCTTTCTCACAATGGCACTGTCCTACAGGATGCAGCTTTTGTGAAACTGTCCTACAGCCAGTCCTACGTTATAATAATGACTATGATGACTGGCTAAATTGTGTGACGTCTCCACATTGCTGTCTTTCTTAGAACAAGAGCACATCACCTGCCAACAGATCAGCAAATTAGATGTATTATTTGATAACAAATGTTCATCAGCAGTTTAAATCTATTTAAATAGGTTCAATGTAATGTCTGTATAGTCTGCTTCTATAAAATTAATTTTTCTTTCCAACTTTGTGAATTTGTGAAGGTAATTACATTTTTAAAAGTTTTTTCTTTTATTATTCTTGTATAATGTGTCTATTTTTAGATCCTGTAAGAACATCTGTTATAAGAAATATAATGTTGTATATGTGTATTTTGCATATGTTGTAGTATATTGTCATTTGTTTTGAACTATTTGACATCATTAGGCCATTAGCCCTGGAACCATTTACACTCAATTTAGTTCCTTTAATACCATTTTTTAACAAATGGTTAAAAATGGTATTTAACCATTTTTAACCTTCACCCCTGAAGAAGGCTCCACGGCCGAAACGTTGTGTTTTCTTTCTTCTCTTTTCAGCATGGAATAAACCTATTACTTGTTCCTTTGCAGCCTACGCATACTGACACAGCTACCCACCTGAATTATTTTAACAAATGCTCTTTTTTGAAGTTTATACAAATTCTATTAGATTTATGTGCCATTTTTGTACCTATATCTCTCATTATCCTGGTACACACTGTAGGCAAACCATTAAGAAAGTCCACAGTCAAACGTCTAGTCCCTGTCAGTCACTCTAAGTCACAGTCTGGTTTGACTAGACTTTCATGTGTTGTAGGTTCAAAAATTGGATCTTATACAATTTTTTTTTGTATTATGGAATTATTACTATTATTGTACAACACAAAACAATATAGATAAAATTCATTTAATGTATTTAAGTTTAATGGAGACCGATGCATAGTTTTGCATGCAGTACTGTAGTAAAAGTATAAACCATAAATATAGAATGGGAAAAGTAGCACTAGAACACGCTAGTAACAAAAAGTTATGTTACCATGTACTGTACACATCGTAGACCAGGTGGGGAAGCAATTAAAAAGGTCAACAAAATGCTAGGATATATAGTTAAAAGCATAGAATTTGAGTCAATGGATATTGTATAACACTCTAGTAAGGCCAGGTTTAGAATATTGTGCACAATCTTGGTGACCTGCTCACGTCATTATAGAAAAGAAGAGTCACAAAATACTCCCCAGGGAATATCCCACACTGACAGACTAAAGAAACTGAACTTTTTTACTCTTTAAAAACATCTCTTTTTTAGTGGTAAAATACCATTGAACCCTGTGGATTTGTTCATTTTGAGTACCTTCCTGTACCTGAAAACAAATTCCCTCTAATATGCTGATACTTTGTAATACAGTTTTTTTTCTTTCTGCTATCTGAGGTATATTGTTAACTTCTTACTTTGTAAACACCTGATTGAAATACTCTTTTCTTTTTAATTGTCTAGAAGTTTACTTTTTTTGTCCATACTACATTTTACTTGATACTTGACTGTTCTTTTGCCATTGTAGTATCTATATAACATTTTATTTATTTTAACCTCCATTGCAATATTCCTTTCAATTTCTCTTTTGGCCTTTTTAATATCCATTTTTACCTGTGCTTGCAATTCATTTTTCTCTTTTTAACTGGATCCTGCTGTTTTTCATTTTTTTTATAAAGCATTGTTTTTCCCCTTATTATTTCAAATTGATTTGCTGAACCAGTTAGGATACTGTTTTTTAGCTTTTGCTTTGCATGTTATGGGGATAAATTTGTTATGTGTTTGGGTAGAAGCTGTTGGCATCCACTGATTTCATATCTGTTCCATCCCTCATCCCTGTTCCATCTTTGTCAGGATTTCTGAAAGGGGTGAGTTGTTGGACCCCTATGTGAAGCCATGAGGAATGTAGTATGAGCAAAAGTAAATTCTATATTCGAAATCCAAGTCATTAGGCAAGAGTGAAGTCAAAAGTAGGAGAACCAGGTCGGGTAGTAAAAGGAGTCAGGTCGAGAATAGAAGCGCGCACAAGAGAAAGCTGTGGAAGACTTCTCAATATTGAGCGTAGGTAAGCCGGAGAAGAGTGTTTAAATATTGAAGAGAGAGAGACATGGTTGGATAATTAGTTCCTGGATGAGCGTGTGTGGAATTTAGCACGCGTGGGAATGCCAGGGAGCTTAAGGGAGAATGAACGAGTCGTGACAATCTTCTTTCTTTCTTTCTTTTTTTAGGCTCAACCTGTGCAGTTTCAAAATATACTTCAAAGCATCTCATTTCCTTAATGGTTTCTTAATTGTAACCTCCTGTTGCCTCTCTGTTTTGATTGTTGGGGTCTTCAACGAAGTGTCCCAGACCATACAACTTTAGGCCAGACAATACTATGATGTCAATCACTGACAATATGATGTCAATCACTGACACTCCACCTACACTGCTTTGGTACCAGTTATGTCTGAGCAACCTTGTGTTTGAAGATATCTGCATTGTTCCACATGTAAGCATTTGAAATCCTTTTGAATCAGTAGCTGTTCACCTCATCAGGCACCAAAGTCTCAATTCTAGACTGCCATCAGATGCAAAAGAGAGCGAGAGATTTTCTTCTCTGAGACCTAAAGTCTCTTTGAGTTGTTGCTCAAATACCAGGGCCAGGTGAGTAACTTGCCAAGGTCTACTCCAGTAAGACCACTCTGGAGAAGAAACAACACCACTCTCAATCAAGACATTGGGTTCCATTGCCAAAGCCATGTTTGCTGTATGTGAAGATGATAAGGACTATAACTAGTTAGTAGCATTCCAACAATAAGCTTGAACTTCCCACCAGAAAAGTGACACTTCACGACCCAGTAGCTTCCATTGTCAAGGTCTAGTCCACTGTGACACATCTCTCTCTTTGACTTTACTGTCATCAGCCATATAATCCTGCAGCAGGTGTGAGCCTACAGTAAGTCAGTACCTGGATGGGAGACCTCCTGGGAAAAACTAAGGTTGCTTCTGGAAGAGGTGTTAGTGGGGCCAGCAGGGAGCGCTCACCCTGCGGTCTATGTTGGTCCTAATGCCCCAGTATAGTGACAGGGACACTATACTGCAAAAAGACGCCGTGTTTCAGATGAGATATAAAACCGAGGTATTGACTCTCCGATGTTCACTGACAAAAATATGACCTACCTTTTTTGCTAAAATACAGGAATGACAAATCATTCATAAGCAGAATATAATACCTCTGGAGAAGTCAAAATATTTTAAATTCCAATACTTCACTAAGTTTAAAAAAAAACAAGAACAGTACTATACATTCCTATGGATCACACTGCAAAGCCTGTTCTCTACCATTAGTATGAAATCCTTTGGTTGATTGGACCATTTTGTTTCAAAACTACATGGAGAAAATGGCCTTTTAGCTATGCATTCTGCATTTTCAATTTTATGCAGTTTGAAGCTCATTCAGAACTAATCTTCAGAGCTTGCATCTCACACATAATAAAAAAAATGTATTTTATATAGCACCTTTAAAGGTGTCTTCTCAATACAGAATGACAACAACTACAAAAAATACACAAGATATGCACTATGAAAATACACAATGAGAGGAGACAGTGTAAATAACAGAATCAGTAAAGGCCTTTCAAAATAAGAACATTTTGATTGTGGATTTGAAAAAGTTTAGGGAAGGTCACTCACTGATATCTCTTTAGGAATAGAGGTGCAGAGCTTTGGAGCATAACAGGAGAAGGCTTGGGGGACAGACAGGAGACCAGAATTAGAAGAGCAAAGGTTGCAAGGTAGGGATAGTAGGACTATAGTAGCTCTAACAGGTACTGAGGTGCCAAGCCATGCAGAGCCTTATAAGTGAGCATGAGAATTTTGAAATTGACACGGAACCTGACAGGAAGCCAGTGCAAAGACTCCAGGATAGGAGTAATGTGATCACTTGCACTAGACCTGGTCAGGATTCTGATTGATGAATTTTTGACATATTGGAGTTTGTTCAATGTGGATTTAGTAACCCCGAAAAAGAGCATTATACTGCAGTAGTAAATTTTGGGAGAAGAGAAATGTGTTGATCGGCTTTCATCAACAGTTGGTGATAACATAGGATGTAGTCTGGCGATATTTCTGAGGTGAAATAATTATGTTTTGATAATATGTTGCACATGTGGGTTGAATGTCAAGCCTGAATTAAATATCACCCCCAAGTTTTTCAATTTAGACAGAAGTTCAAGTACAGTGCCATTCACTGATAGGGTTACAACATTGACTTTATAAAGTTGATGGGGAGTGTCAATAAGCATGACTTCAGTTTTTGACACAGTTTAGATGAAGGAAGTTTAAAGTCATCCATGTTTTTATGTCAGAGATGCGATTAGAGAGAATAGAGATGGTCACATCAATGTCAGGTTTGGTATGGATGTACATTTGAGTATCATCAGCATAGAAGTGATAGTTGAGGCCATGTGATCTTAAAAGTAAGATAAAAGTGATCAATAAGTAAGATAGTGTGGTTAACAGTGTTTAAAGCAGCACTTAGATCAAGAAGAATGAGGATAGAAAAAGAATCAGAGTAATAAGCTATTAAAAGATCGCTAGTGACTTTGACCAGGGCAGTTTCTGTACTGTAAAGTTCTTGGAAACCAGACTGGAGGAGTTCAAAGAGGTTGTTTGCAATGAGACGGTTATTTAACTGAATTTTAACAGCATGTTCTAGAATATTTGCAAGAAATGGTAAGTTGAAGATGGGGTGAAAATTGCTTAGATTTTCCTGAGCCATGTTCGGCATTAATGACACAGGGGTAATGGCATCAGTTTTGAGGACCATTGGTACAACACCCGTGCTCAAGGATTCATTTATTATATTGAGGACAATGGGACAGACAGAGGTGGAACAGGATTGAAATAAAGCGGTGGGAATGGGATCTAATAGACAGGTGGTGGATTTCATATGCGAGTCAAGAAGAGAGAAGTTTGGAGAGAAGGGAAGCAGTAAAGTTAGGCAAGCAGGGAGGAGGTGTGGATGTGATATGCGTTGTGGAGAAAATGTGATGCCGGATGTTTTCGATCTTGGTGCTAAAGAAATCTAAAAATGTGTGGAAGGAATATGTTTTTAAGCGTAATGGTATGTGCTAGAAGCATACAATCAAACATCCATCCATACATCAATTTGCTAGTTGTTTTTTTTTTAATACAGGGTCACAGGGGAGCTGGTGCCTATTCCAGCAGGCAACAGGCACAAGGCAGGATACACCAGTCCCAGGACTGGTCATAGACAGATGCAAACACACACCAGGATTGATGTTCCCAGGAGCCAACTAAACTACCAGTATGTTTTTGGACTGTGGGAGGAAACTGGAACACCCAGAGAAAATTCCCTTTGGGATCAATAAAGTCTTATCTTATCTTATCTTAAAACCCACTTGAACAAGGGGAGAACATACAAACTCGACACAGATAGCACCCTAGTGAGACTGAAATGCTAACCACTACGCTATCGTGCCACCCACAATCAAACATATAAAATATATATGTGAAGGGAGAGAGCTTTCAAATTTTATTTCTGGATAATCTGTGCTGGAAGGACAGCCTGTCTGTTCTTTGTAATTAATGGGCCTGAGAGCTGTGAGCAGAGAGAAAGGGTTTCTGCGTCACAGAAAAGCAGCATTAATTGTACCTGTATTTTCTCTAAGGAACTCTGACTCATTAACACGAACAGTGGCGCTGTAGAACTTGAATGAGTCACACATGACTAATGGGTAAATGAAAAGGAATCAGGGGAAAGGGGGTGTTTAATTTTCCTGCCAACAGCTGTTATTTCTTGCCTTTTCCAATCAAGACTGACAGTATCATATTACTATTTTATATAGAATGGATGACCTTAAACTCTTTAAAGCAGGCAGTGCTTTTGAATATTGGACTTGAAGGGACACAGTCCAGCAGGTTTTATAATCCTCTTTAAATCTTCAAAATGCAATGAGCTGGGAAAGGTCCAGTTTAGTCAATTATAGCCTAATTGTTGGAAATCTGTATTTAAGAACAGAGCTGCAATGAAAACCTGCAGACACAGTGGCATTCTTGAGCCTGGACTGGAGTCCTCTAATGTAATGATACATTATCTTTTGGAAATTACAAATACCAAAAAAGGAAATGCAGAGCCTGAAGAGGCTACTTTAAAAAAAAACATAGGTGTTTATGTAGGCATATCATTGTCATCTTTTAGACACTTTAGGGAAGCAATTTAAGAGGTGTGAAGATAGCATGGAATAAACCTTTTACTTGTTCTTTTGCAGCCTACGCATGCCGATGCAGCTAACTACTTGAACTACACATTTGGATAGATAGCTAAAAGCATAGAATTTAAATCATGCAAAGCTAAAATTACACATTGAAATAAAATGGCATGATGCACTCCTGTGAGCTCAGACAATTTTTGTTACCCTGATATAATCACTACTGCTCTGGAATGTCCTTCACTGACAGCTGAAAGAACCTGTTTAATCTTGACAAAGAAGACTAAGAGGGGACTTGATTCATGTATTCATGAATAATTTAAATTAAATCAGTTGAAATCTCTCCAGAGATCTCTTTGACATTCATTTTTTCCAGTACTGATGGAACCAAAGTAAGGAGCTGAAGTCATCATTCCAAAAAATAATTTAATTCAAAACCACCAGTCATATCTATATGTTCTTGGAAAACAATATGAGCTCCTTAGTCCATCTTAACTCTACTGATGGGGCAAAGTGATTCACCAGGATGCCTACTGTGCCAAGGGCGAGAGAGACTGGAGCACATCCTCAGCTGTTGCCCAAAAGCCCCTGGAGAAGGCCGCTATTGATGGCACCACAACCAGGTGCTTAAGGCCTTAGTAGACACTATAAGCAGAGGCATCACATCAGTAAACATCACCACACAGCAATTCAGACCATTGCTTTCATCAGAATCGGTCAGCAGCCACAACCACAGCCCAGAGAATCAGCGGGTCTCCTGGCAAGACTTTGGCAGCTGAAGGTTGACCTAGGGAGGAAGCTTATGTTCCTTGGCTGTAACAACCACACTTAGGCAAGACACAGTATTTCTGTCCAAGGCATCTAAGCAGGTGGTCATGCTAGAGCTTATGGTTCCCTGGGAAGACTGGATGGAGGAGACCTATGAAAGGAAGAGAGCCAAGTATGAAGATCTGGTTAAACAGTGCCATGGGAAGAGGTGGAGAGCATGGTGCGAGCCCATCAAGGGTTGCTGCAGAGGATTTGCCAGTCAATACCTCTGTAGAGCTTACAGCCTTTTGGATATAACATAGGTGAGCAAGAGGAAGGCCATCAAAACCACCACAGAGGCTGCAGAAAGAGCCTCAAGATGACCATGGATCAAGAGGAGTGATCTGTGGGTGACGATACCATCTGGAAATAAGCAGTACTTGATCAACCTTGACTGGGTCACCTAGGTGAAGATGTCTGATGTTGAAAGATCTAAAACATCAAGTGACCCTCGGTTACATCACTGATGATGTGTCTAGGTGCATCAGAAGATTTATTTCTTCAACTAAAAGTTGTATTACTTTGCACAGATCTTTAATTCCATCAGCTGCTACTCCAGCCTGCTGCTTATTTCAACCAGTCCCCTACCATTTTAACCCATGATCCCTTTCTCACTGAATTCAGACTACTAGATGCAAACAACTTTTGACCTTGATTTAAATTCACATATTTGCAAAAAGTACTTGCTGCTACCTGCTGCTTTCAGAAATATTAGCCAAAATAGCATTCATGTTTTTCCATTATGTTGCAAGCTGTTTCAGCAGTGCCCTGCCAACTCTTTCTTATTGCTGCTGTTTGAATGTTAAACCTGCTGATTGAAATCAGTTATAGCGTAGCATTACTAACTCCAGCTAGATTTGCTTGAGTGACAATGCTGCAAACCCTGACCAACATTTTAAAAGCCTTACTGCTGCCCCAGATTTGATTGCTGGCGATTCAGATGCTGAACGTCTTCAATAAACCTGTACGCTCTGAAATCCAGGGTATCAGATTAGGCAGATTGTGCCTTTTTGTATTGAAATTCATACAGTATATGGTTATTTATATATTGTTCTGAATATTGAAACCTGAAGAGGTTTTGTTTCCATTTCTGCAGTGCTTCCTTGCACTAAACCACTGTGATTACAAAAATATTACAAAAATTACAAAATTTACTTGAATAACAAAAATAACTTGAACAAAATGCCCAGCCATGAAGGATCTTGCCACTCAATCAACTATGTATGCTGTTCATCACGGCCATTCCTTCAGCTTCCTAAAATATTCTTAAAATCTGTCCTAATCCTGTTTCTTTGTCTGCTACTCATATATCTCCACTTTCATAATACATATAGGTCCAACTTCTAAATTTACAACATATTAGCTCTTACTCCTGGGCCTGGCCCCTGTTATTGGTACAGATGTCCTGTCGAGACTGCAGGCACCTGCTCTTCAATCCTATATGTTCTGGCTGGTGTCCGTTTGGATCAGTGCATTTCACACCCATTACCTGTGTGTCTCAATTATGTCTTGATTGCATTTATAATAATAATAAACTTTATTTTATATAGTGCCTTTAAAGGTGGCATCTCAAAGCCCTTTACAGAATGACAACAGAAACAACAACAATTAAAAATAAACAATAAAAAATACACAAGATAAACACGATGAGAATATGCAGAGGAGACAGTAGATGGTGGTACTACATACAGTAGGAACAGAGGGGTAAAGAATGGAACGAGTAAAGTAAAGGCTCTTCTAAAGAAGAACATTTTGAGTCTGGATTTGAAGAAGTTTAGAGAAGGTGACTCTCTGATATCCTTGAGGAGAGAGTTCCAGAGCTTTGGGGCATAACAGGAGAAGGTCCTGTCATCCACAGAGTGTAGAATGTAAATGGGCTTGGGGGACAGTTAGGAGACCAGAATTAGATGAGCGAAGGTTGTGAGATGGGGAGTAGGGTGATAATAGTTCAGACAGGTACTGAGGTGCCAAGCCATGCAGAGCCTTATAGGTGAGCATGAGGATTTTGATGTTGATACGAAACTTGACAGGAAGCCAGTGCAAGGATTCCAGGATAGGAGAAATGTGATCACTTGCAGTAGACCTGGTCAGGATTCTGGCTGCCGAATTTTGGACATACTAGAGTTTGTTCAATGTGGATTTAGATACCCCAGTGAGTAGAGCATTACAATAGTCAATTTGGGAGAAGACAAATGTGTTGATGAGCTTTTCAGCCGCCAGTTAGTGATAACATAAGGCATAGTTTAGCGATGTTTTAAGGCCTTGTCTCCCTTGGCAGATGGTACCGTACTTGAGATTCAGTCTAAATTGAAAAACCTTGGGGTCGACTGTTAAGCCTGAATCAAATATCACCCCAAGGTTTTTCAATTTAGATTGAATCTCAAGTATGGTACCATCCACAGATAGGACTGGCTTTTAGTTGATGGGGGTGCCAATAAGAATTTGTCACAATTAAGATGAAGGAAATTTTGAGTCATCCAAGTTTTTATGTCAGAGATGCAAGTAGATAGAATAGACACAGTCACATCAGTGTCAGGTTTGGTATGGATGTATATGTATATAGAAATGATAGTTGAGGCCATGTGATCTTAAAAGCTGACCAGGTGGAAACATGTAAATGCTGAAAAGTAGGGAACCCAGTAGCGAGCCCTGAGGAACACCAGACTTAACTAAACCAATTTCAGACCTAAATCTGCCAAGGGAGACAAAGTGACAGCGATCAGTGAAGTAGGACTTGAACCATTTGAGAGCTAAGATAAAGCAGGACAGAACAGAATGTGCAAATTTAGGCTGATCAATTGATCGCCAGTTGTGGAAATTCACGGAGTGTGAGGGGGAGTGTGAGGGGGAAGTGTTAGAAACAGGTAATTCCAGATTGAAAAGAATAGCTAAGTGGTCAGAGAGGCCTACAGTACATCAAGGGAAGACCAGTGGGAAACAAAAGAGTCACTTGCAATGAGTAAGTCAAGGGTGTGTCGTTTGTTATGTGTAGGGCTATGAACAAACTGAGTTAGATCAAAGCATCCCAACAGAGCTAGAAAATCCTTAGCCAAACTGGAAGACCTTGAGTCAATGTGCTTATTAAAGTCCCCAAGAATAAGGATCCTCTTAAATCTGAGGCAAAAAAATGAAAGTAAATCAGCAAACTCACCAAAAAAGGCTTCGTTAGGTTTGGCGTCATTTGGTATTAAAGCTTTGATTGCCTGAAAGGATTAACAGTGTTAGTGTTTCATCTTTTCAAGTGTAAATGCTTCCTACTTCCTGATTTGAGTTTTCTGCCAACCACAGTTGCTCTTTAACCACTACATGCTGCTGTTGAATCCTCCACATTATTTAAAACCTGCATGTTATTTAAGGCATTGCTATCCATTGTCTGTGAATGACTGCAGTCCAGTCAAGCGTGTAGTCAGGTTCTGGCTTATTGCAACCCTCTTAAAGAGGAACTGCAGCGTTATTTTGACATTTCAGATTTAATATAATGAATCGGCAATGATGAGTGCCTTTCAAACCGCAATGAAACTACCAAGTACATAGTAACATGTAATCCTCTAATTTCCATCACAAAGAGATGTTTTTTTCCAATGTATGCGTAGCGCGATATTGCAACATAACATCCGGTGACGCAAAAGAGGTCCTATTACGTTCTAAACATGCTTTAGACCAAGCAAATTTTGCTACTATATTAATAGTAAATATTTTTTTAGGTCGACACACACAAGGCGACATGGTTTTTAACCACTTTTAAGCATTGCATAAAAAGAGCAACCTGCCAACCAATATACACTCATAATAATTAACATTGTTACGAGACCATGTTTCCCATTTGCTTACCACCACTAGTGAGCATGGAGGGCTGTTTCCATGTCACAATTCATGGGAACTCTCGCTCTTGCCCGTGGTGAAACCAACAATTTGCGACAACATGGCAACCATATCATCCTTTCACAAAAGTTCACCATTTTAGTCTTTTTGGAATACTGTCCATTTATTATTTTGTTACTGAGATTTAATACCCAGTCTGAGAAATTGGGACTGCAGTTCCCCCTTAAGGATAAAGCACTTACTGACAGTGTGACACTCTCTAAGAAATGTGGACACCTGCGGGGATTAGATTAAAGATACAGCCAGGCTCAGAGCATACTAGGTCTACTGCTGGCTTGGAAGAGCTCTGCAGTGTTTAAGTGTGACATCACGTTTAGTAACAGGCTCTTGCACACTGCGCTCTGTTTCATTTTTTCTCCATGTTACACCAATCTCTACTCCCTTTTACCACTGGGGGGTGGACTTGCATTAGAATTGAAATTGAAACCATTTTTTATGTGCTTTTGTGCATTGGCTTGTTAGTGGCTTAGTATTTGCTTTGCTTACTTCCAAAACACAAGCACAGCGCTCTTCCAAGCACCTATTTAACAATACATTGGTGTCATCACAAAACAAAATACAAAGTAAATATATAGTTGTAGCCACGAGTACTACTACTGTTTTTTTTCGTTGGACAGTTGGTGAGAAATGTTTAAATTTAAAATGACCAAAACCATAACCTGAGTCTTTGAAGGGAATTCTGGGGGCCCCCAATTCCACACCCTTGTGTTCAGTGGGCAAAAAATCAGGTGCAGTACCTTTCAGTTTCAAAATGCTACAAGGTCATTGTCTTATCTTATCTCATAAGCTTAGCTCTATGAATTATGTCACCTATAATTACTTGCAAATTATGTACATCTTGGAATAAAATTTATGGGTAAGTTTTTATTAATAACTTAGAACTGGGATCCAAACTGAAATGGACAGGCAGCACACATCATTGTATCTCCAGCACCATTTTCTTTCATGTAAATATTGCTAAATCTTAGATAAACAGAAGCAAAGGAAAACTTCTTTTCTGATCTAAAGTTTGGGTTTAGCTTTGAAACACATTAAGAGGTGACAGTTATGTAGACATTGGTGACGCCTAGTGAAAAAAAAGTGAGTTGCAGCCTTAAATATTTTTTTTTTTAAAAGCATGTATCATCCTGCAAGCAGGCAGCTCGGAAGCAGAAACATTAGAAGATCCATAGGGTTCATTTTCATTTATGTTCATTGAAGAAAACTATTAATTACTTCTACAAGTACATCACAAGGCTTTTACACACTGTGCAAAGACATACTGTTTTCTGAACTTTTGTAGGGTGACGTCACTTGACGCTATTCACAGCCTGTCAACTTGCTAAATCTCATCTCCCAGAATCTTAGTGTTGGCTCGAGTCCCCCAGTTCCAGGAAAAATGTCAAGAGCAACACCACCCTCTGTTTTAAATGACAGTTGACTCTGTTAAATATGAGGCACTCTGAAAGATACCTCACAAAATATGAATGTCCTAGAAAAAAAGTCAGCATCCTTTACTTGCTTCTTGATGATATGCATATAGTAAAGATGTGATATAGACCCCTGGTCGCCTGAGTGTCCAACAATGGAGAGTCATTCTCTGACTTTTATTTCAATATTCCATTTAAATATAGACAGGCTCCCTCCTGGATTGCAACAGACCTAGTAAATGGATAATAAATTATTTAAGCTCTCTGGAATCCCATCGAAAACTAAAACTACCCTGATATCACTCATGAAGCTCCAATAAATGTATAATGATATTGAGGATATCCCTCGTCAGAAGAGAATCTCCAGACATTTGTCAATATATTTACTGAAGCATGAAAAGATGGATCTTAAACTTAAAACTGTGAAAACCAAAGCCCTCCATCCGAAAGCACACCCTGGTGCAGATGGATTCACATTCATAATGGGTGTATGTAGAATATCTATAGCGCTTTTCACAGCGAGTACTCTCTTTCACATAAGGCTCATATTGACATAGATCTAGTATTTCCTAAAATCTAAACCTACAGTTTTTGACCACCTGAAGAAGCAGATGTCTGAGGACCCCAACATTAATATTGACACCAAACTGATGGGAAGTTCAATAAGTCCTACTGTTTAATTTGATGCTGTTTGATGCTGTTAACTCTCCTACCTTTGTTCTGTGAACAAGATATCTCAGTCTCAGCTTGTAGCTCTCTGACTGCTCTGTTAGGACTCTCCTCTCCTTCTCTGCATCACATTCACAGGTTCTAGCATCAGTAATTAAAAGGCACCTTCTGTCTTCTGCTTATACTCAGACTCTTGGTTGTCTTAATTCCTTCCATGTCTTTGTCAACACTTTGTTTGTGATTGTTATTATTATTTGCTTACCATTTTCCTTAAACACAACAGCTTACAAAATATACAAAGTTAACATTGACTACATTATGATGCTCAGATCTTTCTTTCCTCTTAAACATCTGTCATTGTTTTGTGGGTACTTAACTGGCAGCCATTTCCTCCTCTCACATCAGTTAAGTCTTTAATGTGTGGTCTGCTCTAGATTCCTTTTTCATCTAAAGTTTTGTTCTCTCTGTTTCTCTAGTTTCTGTCACCTTGTCTTGCTTTTCCACTTCCAAGAATCTTAGTGTTACCCTAGGTCATTGGATCTGCTTGTGCTTGACTCCAGTTTGGCCTGGAAACATCCACTACCAATGGACATTCCACGGAAATAGCTTTTGGACACTACTCTCTACTGACCACTGCTGTCCAGTCTAGATGCTGCATCTTCAGTTCCAACAGGTGCATCTTCAGTTCCAACAGGTCCAAGTTTAACCTCAAAACCCTCCAGACATACTGGTTCCCAGGTGACATCTTGGGTTTTCTCCCTCACTTCCACCTTCTGCCATGTTACACTGCTGCCACGTGAACATGCACAGGACTGACTTGTTAAGACATAGAAACATACATATAAGGTAACGGTCACTGTTAAAACATAAAGATAATTTGTCAAATGACAAATTCTCTCATGCGTATAAGATTGGAACGCCATGGCAGATGATTAATCCAGAAGGTCTGCATGTCATCCAAGCAGCAAGTGCTTATTCTCTCAGTTTGGAAAGAGTTCACACCCCAACAGCACCTGATGATGGACCCAGTTCTGAACTTTCATTTCAGAACAGGTCTCTTCATTGAAAGGCAAAGAGCTGGTTATACAGTATGCATGGGAGACTTCTCAGATAGGAAGAATAATTCCTGCAGAATTTTAATATCCTAAACGATATTAGCAATCAAAATTATACTTTGACAACTTTAAGGAATACTTTATTTATTTATTTCATTAAAATATGACTAAGAAACTAGAAATACAGTACTTAATGTATGCGAATACATCTAAAGGTATAAATGTAGAGAATTTACAAAATATACACTATTAAGCACATGTATTTTACATTGGCATATTAAATTTATATGAACTAAAAACTACAGATTTAATCTTTGATTTAAAATTAAGATATTTAATAAAGCATATATAAGACTTGATCTTCAAGAGTCTTATAATAATACATAACATTTGTCATTGTAAAGATAATCGCGTGTATAAGTGTTCTGATTCATGTAATTATGGATATTAATACAGCTGTTTTGTCTTTTGGAAAGTGGTTATAAAGCGTTCTGAATATTATTATAGCATCATTAAGGTATTATTCTGCAACATAAGACAGCATTCAAATAAAGAAATACCCTTATTTCAAACAGAACATTAAACATATTTCAAATATAGTATTTCAAATAAAACATTATCCCTACAATATGAGCAATAAAAATGAGAAGGAATAAGTAGCTTATTAGTTTAGACCACCCTCATTATATTTTCTGCTGTACACTTCTGAGCCTGTGGGTTAATTACTTTTCATGATTAAGGAACATGTTTCTTTGGTGTTAATTTTAAAAAAGAGTACAGTTGAATATTCGTGAGAATTAATATTTTTGTGTCATTAAAAATAAACCTGGAGATTAGGTACCGGATACCTCATTCCAGGTCTTATGTAAATATTTCACACATATTGAAGTAACTAAATCCTTTTAGTCTTCAACAGAGAAGACTTGGAATAGACCTGATCCAAGTATTCAACATTTTCAAGGAACTGACAGATTCAACCCAGTGCACATCTTCAGGAAGAACAGTGAAAACTGAACCAGAGAGCACAAATGGAAACTACAGTATGTGGAAGTGCATTTGAAACTAAGACCAGTGAGCACTTTTTACCAAAAGGGATGTGAGAGACTGGAACAAGCTGCAAAACTATGTTGTTGAAGCTGAAACTGAAGCTGAAATCCCTTCTCCTTAAGGGCGTTCCTCATCTTTCACATTTTACCTGATCTCCTGCACCTGCCTTCTGTTACAGTCTCCCCTTTAAAAGCCAGACGCCCCCACTATTCCAGGCTCAGTATTGGAAGATGGATGCCACAAGGCTTACCTATTTTCTGGGTTGTCCGAAGGCAAGCTTTTTCCCCGGCGTCTTGACCATATGCGTCCGGGACTTGGAGCGACTGGCCACGTTACATTTTTATTCCTCCGACCCTTCGCTGGATCCTGTTCTGGCTTTTAACTTCGTTTGTCTTTGTCATGGATGGACCACCCGGCTCTGGACATTTGCCTCCCTACAAATTTCCCTAACAAACACCCTTTGGACTGTTTGCCTGGACCACGCCTCCCTCAGTACCTTCGTCATGCCCCCCTGTTCGTCTGCCAGCCCTGTTCCTCGTCTCTTCCCCGTGTCTGTTCACTCTCTTCCGGATTGGGCTGTCTGCATAGGGTCCTGAAAGACACTACGTGACAGAAACCCAGGCTTCCTTCAAGAAAATGGCTGGATGTGATCCTTTGGACCAACTAACTACTAACTACCAGAGGACTAGAGGGGGTGAATGGGCTCCACTTGTACATAACTATTCTTGTGCTGTTATTAACTATTTAGTCCCTCATCAATGAATCATTCCGTTCAAAATTTTCTCTGAAATATATGTATTACTTTGACCCTCAGAAAGCCTTAAGGATTGCTTGGAGGAACCTAACTGTCTGTGTTTATTATTCTGGTCCCTAGATGAGCTCTCTGCTGTTTAAACCAAAATAAGTGGTGGATGGATTACTGTTTCCATACAATTATTACATTAAAGCTGGGTTAGTGGTTACAAAAAACACTTCGCCATTGAATCTTTTATGAATTATACCCAATTCCACCAGCATCACTTCATCAAGTAATTTACTGTTACCATTGGCTAAGAGTATAGGAAAAGTAGTACAGTACTATCCTCTGTTCACCTCCAGTCTGCAAATTAATTAGTGATACAGCTGGTCAATTTACCTAACCGTGTAAGCGAGTCCTAGCTAGGACATGACACCAATGGTGGAGAAGTGATTTATTGTGTATGTTTTGTGAGGAACGTTATTATCTTCAGTACCTGAGAAGTTATAATGTACTTTGTTCATTTTGTTTCAACTGGGATATGAATTTAAAATTTGGTGCAGTTTAAGAAACCACGACAGTAGTGCTTTCCTTGTAGACATACTGTATAATCTGACAGAAGAATGTTTACATTAGGTATACACTCCATTCTAGACATTGGAATTTGATTGAGGGTGACCTCTCTTGTTCATCACAGTGGCCAGTTTTGAATGATAGAGAGTTGGATAAAATAGGCTGCCTGAATGTAATAATTCAGTTTTGAAGATACATACTGAGCTTTATTTTCATTGGCTAATGAGGGATTGTGACAGACCCATCCCTTAACCAGAGCAGTCCCAAGAGACTGCACACACAAAAAACAGCCACAGAGTAGTGAAATCCAAAGGGCTTTTCAGTTCCACAGCAAAACAACACTAAACAAAACAGTAGCACCTTGCATGCTTTTTAAACACAGAAAAAGCTTAAAACACTCTGTGAGAATATGAAATTCTAAAGCCTTTACCAATTACCCAATAATTAAATCACCCTAGTGTGGCTGTTTACGGTTAATTAGAGGTCAAATGTTGTGCCCTCTTGTGGCAGTGAGTTCTAAATGCCACCCCCAAAGTCACCCCTCTTAAATTAACCTACCACAGGACGTTCCTAGGGCATTTAAAATGGAAAAAGGCTAAAAGTTCTCAAAATGGGTAGCAAGGATTTCAGACTCATAAGAAAAGGCTCATTTCAGAGCTGACTGTGCTGCTTGTCTATTTAATTGCATTATCTTTGAAGTTTATTTCCACCATTTCCTGTGTTTCAATTGTCTTGTATTTCGTTGGCGGGGGAGGAGGTTTAAATGATGGAGGCTCATCCAATCTGAAAGGTAGTTTGAAAAAATAAACATACTCAGATCATTTTAAATACACTCCTGCTTAGTAATGATAATGGACTTCAACAATATGAGATTGCATTTAAAAGAATATGGAATGATAATCTTAGCTCTATCATACTGTACTGTACTCCTCCACATTTACACTCACTCTACATTCTTTACATTCAATGAGGTTGGTCCTGTTCATTTTAGCTGGGATTAAAGCTTAGACTTTTTGGTGCCCTTCCTCCAATTCGTAGAGAGACAAAAACTTTGTCTCCAAATCTCTACTCCAAATAATATTTTCTATGGTGTAAAGTCTTTTGCTCTGGCTTACATCCGATTTCCCTACATTCTATCCCATATGTTTTTGTTATTTCATTTCTTTTGTTTTTTTATTGCAGTTTTTTGTCTTTATCACAATGTGCAGAGTCCATGATTTTGAAAGGTGCTTTATACATAAATGTTATTAATGTATGAGAGCTTGGGATAAAGTGGTGGAAAGACACTATACTTTTTCTGTACTACTACAATATTTTTCTTTCTTAATGCAGAGTTACCATGAAATGTAAATTGAAAAGATATTGTGTGTAGATTGAACTGTTAAAAACAATATGACTACATTGTAATTGGAAAGTCATTTTATAGAGAATTGCCTGCTAAGAAAAACATGTAAAGAGCCTGACAGGAGGTTTTAAAAGACAGGTGACAGATAACATTTGGCCACTGATAACTGTCTAGTGACCTTTGGATCTGCAGCAAGTAAATGGTTCTTTAGAACAATATGCGTAACTTTATGTGTAAATATTGTTGTAGTAATTTTTAAGCCACTTCACAAGCTACAATCTTGAAAGTAGCTTTTCATTCAGTGTTCAAGTTCAATAGTGAATCCACTCACACAGTTCCAATTACCAATCCCTCTTCAAAGAGCAAAAGTTAAAAATAATTCAACACCGTGCTGCAGAAAAGTCTTCATCTGAGTTAGTAACTTAATTTAACTCACCTTCAGCCCATCCGGAGTTACAGTACAGTGACGTTATTATACGATGAAAGTAACAATATGTGACAAGAAAAAACATGCTTTGAAAAGCTATAATGCATTGCTAAATGTAAATAAATGTTAACAAGTAACGGAAGTGATATCCAAACTATTGAAATTGGTGACAATAGATATTAAAAGGACAAATGCACTCACTTCTTCTGCTGTATGTATCTTCTGACCAGGACCACAATCAGAATGAGGCATACCAGACATGGCAGGATAATAAACACTACTGTTGTGTGGCCTTCTTTACCTCCTGTGGCACCTGGAGAAACAATCAGTCACTGAAATATAGATAATAATGAACCTGAATAGCTAGTCAATGATAGTCAGCTTAGTGTATTTTTAGAAGAAAGACCTGGACGTCTATGCTGCACTTTTTACACTCGTATACAGACAAACTATGACTATAACGTGATAATTAAAACCATTTAATTCAATACTTTTCATTTTATATCTGCCCATATTTGGAGTCAATGATTCCATGTTCTCTTCAGAATGGGGGTGGGCAGAATAAGTTCTACCAATTCAACCGCTCACCTTTGACACAGGAGTGCTCAGCTGGAGCAGTGGCTACCCAGAAGTCAGTGTTGTGCTGGGGGCCTAGAGAGCTTTATCCAACTAATCTCCACCCAACCCCAATTGTGCAACACCACCTGAAAAATCCCACCTGTAGCTGATGAAGGGACATAGGCTTGAATTTATGGTGTCTGGGCTATGGAGCTCAACATGCACTTGTAATGAGTTTGGTTACTAGTGAAGTCTATCTGGAACACAACTTTGGCAGTTCAAACTTAAAAAATAGGAGATGAAGTAACATACCGTACCTGTGTCTATTACTACAGATGTGTTGAAACCCCAAGGGGTTTGAGTGAAGGATGTTATGTTGTACTTGAGAGTGGCTGGGACTGGATATGAGACTTTGCCTTTGGTTGCGAAGTCTGTGCTGTTTTCTTCATTATAAGACATGCTGGAGTTCTGCCAGCTAGTACTTGCTGAATGATGCGTGGAGTAGCCTTGTCCATGAGTAGCATTCACAGAAGAGGTTGTGTCACGTTCCTGTTCTGTCATTGTGGTCCTGGAAATGTTGGTAACCTGCCCAGGGCTATCAGTGGTCCATGCTACTTGTGTTGATGCAGTAACATCCGTGTACATATCCGTTCCTCCAGTCTTGCTTATGTTTGGAGTAATACCAGGAGAAGCGGTTGTAAATGTGATTGAAGGAATTACTGTCCCTACAAATCAGAAAGACTGAAATTAGATATTTTTTGGTGACATACATGAATATAATGAAAAGAACAAGACCTCTTTAAAGGTTAGAAAAACATTTTTAAATTGTTAAGTTTAAAATAACTTAAAATTCAATAAGGCAATGGCAGAATATGTTAAAAAAATTTGATTCTGACCAGTGACAGAGATTTTCAGGAGTTATATATAAGGGTCATTTTAATTATTTCTCTTCAGTAAATTACCCACACATTATTATTACAACACAAAGATTAAGTTGCCAGGTCTCCAGTCCATCCATTTTCTAAATGCTTCTTCCCATTCAGGGTCACCCGCAAGCAACAGGTGCAAAGGCAGGGTTCACTCTCGGAAGAAATGGAACATACAAACTCAACACGGATAGCATTCCAGGTCTGGAATTGAACCCAAGGCTCCAGGGCTGTAAGGCAACAATGATTAACCACTACCAAGCTGTGCCACCCGCCTGACCCACAATATATAAAATGATTTAATTTAATATATGCTTACTGTACATCTCCATGCAAGGTGAGTCACACAACAAGATTACAGTTTGGACCACAAAGTATTTGGGAAATCAGGGACCAATTATAGTGTAATAAACCACTGTCCTTCCCAGATCTGTATCCTATGACTCTACCCTTTTGTAAAACTTTATTGGGGCTCATTCAGCTTGACCTTGGCACTGAACTTGCTCTGTCCGCTGAGAACTCAAACCTTCTTCCCAAGTGGAGAGTGAGCTTGTTGGTGATAAATAAACCTCTTCAATTCTTCCCTAACTTGTAGGAAATTCCAATAGGAATACCTGTTTTGCCTAACCATGGATCAACAGATGAGATATATTAGACGCCCACTTCAGTGCCAACTCTGAAACTAAATTTACTAGACTAATCACAACACTTGACACCTTCAGTGTTCTGTACCTATTTATATTATACCTATTTACAGAGAAACCCTTTTTCAAAAAACTTTAATGGGGTTAAACCTTAATTAAATCATAATTTAATAATTAAACCTTAATTGAAACCAGCAGCATTAGGTTCCTCTGATAATCTCATGCAAGTACCTGTACTTATTTTCTCTGTAGAAGAAGGTTCTCCAACCCTGAGATATTTGATGAATCCAGCAAGTATTCTGTTCAATTAAGAGAACTCTAATCCTTAGGTTGGAGATACTCCTAAATGATAAATGATCTAATAATTCATCCATCCATTTTCTAACCACTTTATGCAATACAGGGTTGTGAGGGAGCCAGAGCCTAGCCCAGCAAGCAATGGGTTCAAGACAGAATAAACACTGGACTGTACACTCATCCTTCACAAGGCACATACTGTACTAACAAAATCAGGCGCACACTCACACCAAGGCCAATTGTTTCCAAAAGCCAAATAACCTAGCAGTATGTTTGTTAACACCAGGAGGAAATGGGATCATCTGGAGGAAAGCCTCATGAACATGTGAGAACATGCAATATCCATGAAGTTACATTAACACCTCAGGAACTGAACCCAGGGTCCAAGTACTGTGAGGCAGCAGTTTTAACCACTGTACCTCTGTGCCACCAGTGGTCTATTAATACATTATTTTAGTAAATCACCTGCTTAATGGACTACAGTGGACTTGTTCCATCTCTTTAGAAACTGGTGGGCTAATGCTGACCAGCAAAACCTACTGTACTGGGACTCTCCAGGACAAGGGTTAGGACAGGTATAGAGCTATCCTCTAGACTCTAGTGTCTAGAGTTTCCTTAAGTACTCTAGTACTTAAAGTGACATGGACAACTCTGACAGACAACTGCTTAGTTACACATGACTATGATCTACTGAACTATGAAGCATATTACAATGTACAGAAAGTGTAATAAAGTAAAAAATCTAACATATTTAACCATGAAGCCTAATGTTGTGTTTGTCTGTTACTGGGGAGGGCCTTATGAAAGACAAGCGACAAACCTCAGTACAGCAAACAGGAAGCTAAACCACAGTGTCAGCCGGTGCTGGGTGACACAGTTCACTTGTCAGATTCATCACCTCACAATGAGTATTGAGTGAGTAACATTTGTGTAGATTAAGTACAGATAACCATGAGAGAGTTAACAAGCCTCAAGCACATGGCTCCTCTCATTTGGGAATTCATAGTCTTCATTTGTTTTTATTAGGTAATTTAAAAATAATTTTCCAAATCGTTTGTCCCCTCTTTAAGAATATTTTTGTCCTGATGTAACATAATGGCAGAATCTATAGGGGATGATAAATGTAGGCACCAGACCAATTCAGCACACAAAACCTGGCCCTTTCTAGAACACTTCTTGTCCTTGTCAGTACTCCAACAGAGACAGAGATATAGTTCCTAGATGCTGTGCTTTACATTTTTGCTGTGTCAGTCTGAAAGTAAACCTCCTTTGCTAAGGATCAACACAAGGACATCTGTATACTGTACATTCAAGCTCCTGCAGTTTTTTCAAAGCATTGATGATGTTTAATGAAAAGAAAACCACAAAATCTGTAAAACATGAGCTCAGTAGATCTAAGAACAAATACACTACTCCAAGCAAAATCATTTGTATCCAAATCTAGTCTTATCAAATGTACTTCAATCCCTATAACATGTCACTGTAAAGAATGTCTTTGAGATAACAAATTTTATATAAAGTCTTTGTAGCACATCACTTAAAATTATTATTTTTTCCATATCCAATATCAGCAATGATTTATCCCCAGCAAGAGTCATGGCAAACCAGAGCTTATCATGGAGGCACAGGGCACAAGGTGAGAGACCATCCTTGAAAAGACAAAGAAGTACAATTTTAAAACACCAGTGAACACAGCCAGCATGTCATTGAAAGATGGGAGGAAATAGAACCGTTGTCTGCTGCAGCAAGTGCAATGCAATAATTTCATTCGATTTTTTTCGTAGGTAAATTTTCTTTTCATTTTTCATTGGTTATATAAGGCAACTTACACCTTAGACTTAGGACTTTCAGACGTAATGTAATTTAGGCGTGGGTGTGGTAGTTTAGGCTCAGTATGTCCCAGACTTTTTTTCCTACTGAAAAAAACTTACCAATGAAGGAACTGTGTCATTGTTAGAAAAAAACCCCCAAACACAATGCTCTTTGATGTTCTGTATTTCATCAGAACGTATTGAATTCATATTTGCCATCTGAGATCAATAAAAAAGAAAAGTGTTTAAAAATAATTGAACAACAATTTTACCGCTCTACATAATTTAATTTCCTGAAATGTTTGTGTGGGTTTCCTCCCATAGTCTAAAGACATACAAGTAAGTTATTTGACGTATCAGAAAATTGGCCCTGGTGTGAGTGTGTGCCCTGCAATTCACTGGCATCCTGGCCAGGATGTATCTTCCCTTGTACCTGTTGATTGCCAAAATAGGCTGTGGCTCCCATATGACCCTGAGTTGAAGAAAGTAGTTAGCAAATGGATGGATGGAATTAAAGGTACAACAAATAGCAAGGTTGTAAAATAATCTTTGTCACTCAAAAATACCAGCAAAAAAGAAGTTGCAGCCACGCAACAGAATTAGTGCAAATCTGAACATTTTCTGAAGTCTTTGCAGCACTTTTTCTGTCTTAGCCTACAACTGTCCACATCCCCATTCATTTTGCTTGTGCGTTTCTGAAAATCCAACATTTTGTCACGTTCCCAGCCTGAATCATACAATACTATGATTTTCTATAACCAAATTATTTCTCTTGTAATTATTTCTCTTGTGATTTAGGTAAAGTTTAAGAAAGTAAATTTGAAATTTGAAAAAAAAATAATAGTAATAATATATAATAGTAATAATAATAATAGATTACAGAACATTATGACATGTACAGCAAAATTGTTCTTAAAGAAAATATGTCATGGTATTCTTTTATTATTTCCATAAGGTATAATGCTTTAAAAAAACAATTTATTTTTATAGAACTTGGTTAATATGGAATACTGCTAGACTTTTTGAGATGGCAGGCACTGAGGATACCCATTGTCAGAGGCTACCACTATTGCACATTTTGAGTCTTACAAAGAAGATAAATAATACACAGAAAGAGGTAATTAAAACCAAGTTTAGATCTGTAAACATATATATATATAGGATATTTTTTAGTTTTCCCTCATTACTCTTTTACAATCTATGAAAGTTTTCTAGATGGCGATTTGGAATTACTATTTTTTAAACCCATTAGTCAGTAGAGCACTATATTAAGACTTTCCAGTTTTACTCAGTCACTGAGAGCAATAATCAAATCACAATAAGGGTACAAAACTTCATTTTCTTCTCACACACATCTCAGTCTGGCCAGGCCAACTTGCTGAGCAAAAGAAATGAGAGCCTATTTAAAATGCAAGAACTGCATAACAGCATTTTGATGCAAAATACCACAACATGCCTTGTGTTAGACATACAAAGGAAATATGGGGAGTTTTTAAACCACATAGCACCAAGAAACAGACTGACGTCAGCTCTGCTGCAGTGAGACGATTTGGCCTATATTTTGAAAAGTCATTGAAAGTGAACTCTAGTGTTAAGGTTTGCTATAAGTCAATTAAAACATCATCCTTGACCTTCCCACCAATTGTTCACTTATCCATTCCTTCAGTTTTTATGAATCCAGATGGAACTCTAGTATTTGTCAGTAAACATTTTCAAATGTAAGATTTCAGAATTCAAATACATCAGAACCTGAAGTAAAAGTAAGGCACTACAGCGGGTGGTCAAAACTGCCTAACACATCATCGGCAGTGCCTTGCCATCCATCCAGGAAATATACAACACCAGGAGTCTGAAAAAAGCCACCAAAATTATGTCTGACCCCACTCACCCCGGTCATAACTTGTTTGTTCCCCTACCATCTGGCAGAAGGTTCCGGTCACTCCAGTCGCACACAACTAGACTCCAAAATAGCTTCTTCCCCAGAGCTGTCGAGTTGGTGACGCCCCCACTTCCTTCCACCTTATTATGATCTCTTCTAACATCCTCCTGTACCCACAACCACTGTACTCCTACACCACCACACACACATGTAAGCCAAAATTGTACTGTCCCCTCGATAGCTCAG